CATCTGAATGGAAAATTATTCCACGACCTTTAGTTCATGCAGTGTTTCTTAGTGTAGCTTAGGCAAACGTTAGGTCTGTAGCTGCTCCACTGATGATGAATCTGAAGATAATAATCATGTGATTAAAAAGAAATTGGCTTAAAAGCCTTGTGGAGCGAGAACTTTCTGAATATGTTATAAATAATTTACGACTTTAAAATAATTTCCTCTTCTAACGATTCCTATGAGCTCTCCATTCATGAGAGCCTTCTAATGAATAAATACAAGCCTTCACTCTTCGCCTCTCTTAACTTCAGTACATTTTACTTCCCAACTTCTTTATCATGTAATCCATTTGACACTGCCTCCTTTAGTCGTAATTTAACACCTTTTGTAAATACAATATCTTGTCTTAAAATCTCATTATAAATTATTACTTGCCCGAATATGTCTTGAGTAAGGACGAAACGTCAGTATAAATTCAATTTAAAGCTTTTGGTCTATTTCTATATCTCTAATTAAAACTTTATGTTAGGCATTAATTGTTATCATATTACAAGAAAAAATTAAGTTTCACGAACACAAAAAGCCAAAAGAACGGTAATATATACGAGAAAGTTTTTAAAGAGTTCGGGGCAAGGTGCAATGACCGACAAGAAGACATGGACTTTGCTGTTACTCAAATGCGTAATATATTTAAGAAATGTATTGGAGAATGCAAATATGCTTCAATGATAATCAAAACTGCCAGTTGCATTAAACATTTTCGATAAAGTAAAGGCCATAGTGTTCAAGCAGTTTTTGCAGCTTGTCCAAGCCAAAGATTCTTAAAAACACGAACATTACATGGCGATGGAATCATCATTTTTAAATTATACCAATAGCGCTAGCTCCAGTGTCAATCTTTTTCTGATTTTTTAGAAAAACAATGAAACAATTTGACAATTAAAAAGAGAAGGTTAAGATAGTTTTAAAAAATCGTTTGTCCAAACAAACAGAAAAAAAGTATCAACAAAAGACAATGTTTTTGAAGCTATAGCTTTTTTAAAGACATCTGTGGACGATGATCCATCCAAGGAGCTGCTAATTTTCTTGCAAGATGAAACTGAATAATTAAGAAAGCTTAAAATTGAAATGACAAAGCTTTCTTAATTTTATATCTACATGAAATGGTGCACATCATTTACCAACACCAAATTTTTAATTCGAACAAAAATTCCACGCATCTGCTAATTTTCAGCATTATCAGTTACCAAAACAATTCATTCAGCAGCCACTCCAAACTACAACATTACTCATTCCGACAATGATCGCAAACAATACTAATCATTATAGAACTGATGTGAATAAAAATAACATATTAAATTTATTATTATGTTATGAACCACATGCAATGCTTAATTACTTCATATATTTCAGTTCGGTTTTTAAAAGGGAGATTTCAAATGATAAAGGTGATCTTTTCCTGTTAGTTACAATAGCTTTATGTTGCTAAATTATCAAATTTTATGAATATGTTCCATTAAACCGTCTATATATGAAGGTAGTTCTGAACACTTTGACAACATCTTTGTCTAAACTAAAAAAGTATTCTATCTTTCCTTTCTTGCATATATTAGCTTGCCAATTGTTTATGTATTTCAGTACGTATAGAGAAAACTAATGTACAAAACAAATACTTTTATTAAGGTATCTATTCTTGGCAGAAAGTACAGAACTTTTCTTATGGCTATGGAGCATGACTGCAAATAAACATCATATTTTTTCAATTTCACTTCAGTCAATAGCACATGATCTAACGCTTGACATGGCTAAAGAGAAGATTTATTGGCGAGTTTCAAACGGAAATGTTTTTTCTTGTTATTACTACTCCCATAATGTAATTGATTTTGGACCTTCAGGAGGTCCCATGACAGTATTTGGGGATTTTATTTATATCATGACTAGTGTTGGACGAAGTGTCGTTAGTGTCCATAACACAACACATCAACGTACGAGACGTAAATATTTTCTTCCTGTAAACAACGCTTATCTTGATTTGGCTGTAAGAATACACAGTGTCACTCGTAACTCAAACGGTAGGTAAATATTTACCTATTTGACATAATAATCTAAGACTTGCAAAAACTCCGACGCTAATGTTCATAAAATAGAAAGACGTTAAAAAGTTCAAAGTAACATTGCCTTAGTAAACGGTTGTTCTTCCCTCCAAAATTATAGAAAATTTGATGAACATTAAGTTCAAAGTGCAAAGTGTCTAATTTGGACATTTTTGCCGTTTGTCTATTCTTGTCAAACTTCTTGGGTGTTAAATTTATGTCTTTATTGTTTCTTACATCATTTAAACAATCACTTAGGCTTGAAATCAGTCTTAAATAAAAAAAAATCATGAAAATAAATTGAAAGACAAAAACGTCCAAATTGAGCATGTTGTGCAGTGAGCTTAAGATTTATCAAATTTTTTATAAATTCAGTATATTGCAAAACAGAGTTTAAACTTTTACATCTTTGGATTAAACTAGATTTGAAAGTTTTAATTTTCTATGTGTATGCTGTTCATATTCAGGCGATTACGAAGTACTCACATGGTTTTCGAGATCAATTTTTTATTCATTTTACTTTAAATAAACAAGGCAAAGCCATGCCAAAATACATGAGCTTTGTCACATTTTGTGAGAACTACTGATGAATTGATAATTTTCTGAACATTTTTCAATTATCTAACTTCTTAGTATATCCCTTGTAGTGTCCCAAACAGCCAGCAAATTTGTTCATACTCTGTAAATTTTCAACATTTATTTAATTGTTTTGTTTTTACGAAATGCGCGAACACCAAAAATACCAACATTGCATAACAAACTTGCTTGCTGGGTACGTCAACGTGGATACTGAGTGACAAATTGCGTTCTTTGAGGAAGAATATGTTTCGTTTAAAATCCCTGGTTGATTTTATTTTTAATTTTATTTATCGATATAGCGACAAGCACTTTTCACTTTCCTTTGTGTGGACCCAACACATACTATCGTAAATTTAATGGAACATTGAACTGCACGTGTATGGAAGGATACTCAGGAGAATTTAACTCTTGCCAAGGTATGGATTTATTACTGTCTTTATCAAGATTTTTTATCACCGATTATGAATAAAGAGCTACTCTGTGCAGTTTTAAAACTTTGTTCTTTGTTGAGAATCCTAAGCTGTTTTCTCTGCTGTTGCTTCTGTTAAAGGAATTTGCTGCATCTACATTTTACATGTAACCACAAAAATAAGGCTCAAAACCACACATACAAGTTCATCATTATCAATAAAATCAAGCAGGAAATCTGTAATAAATTTATGAAAAGCTTCAATACACTTAAAACTTCCACAGTACACAACATTGAAAGTGTATCGTTCTCTAAATGACAATAGCATATGTTAGCATTAACACTTTTTGATTTTCTCTACATTAAGGAGGGGGTAGGGTTAGAGTTAGGGTTAGGTTTAAGGTTAGGTTTAACACTCCTCCTTAAGTTAGTAATTTAGCTATGGCCCTGCTAACCTAGATACACCATATTAGACAGTCTTGAGTTTATTATTGGTTGGCTTTCGTAAACTAAGAATTCTGTAAATCCAACTCACATGCCCGCGTTTTTAAAAGTCCTGTTCTTTTTAAACATAGTTTTTACTATTACTGTTCAAAATTTTAATAATATATCTTGTTGCAAACTGTACGATATACTATTATAATGCTCTATGTATAGAACTCATAAAGTAGTGAGTTTATCTCGTTCGAAATTTAAATTTATTCTATAATGTTTACACTATGAGTAACAAAACTGAAGCAAAGGCAATGGAGCATAAAAAACGGAAACGTCATTAAAATACTGAGCCTTTTGGGAGAAAGTTATATCACTTAAAGTTTTTCTAAGCCTACAGGTCGCGCAATTAGTCATCCGCCGCTTAGTATGGGTGGTATGCACTGATAATGTTCATTCATACATATCTTGTTAATTTTCGATGTAAGAAAATTAGGTTTTACTGTTAAGAATTCACTTCCTTTAAAAACCTAAATAAACAATATTTTTAAGAGGTAGAATAAATAAGGTCAAAAAATGTATGTAAATAATGTATAATAACGTTTTTCAGTAGATGGCATTAAATTTCTACTGGTTTAATAAAATTTCAAATGACTTTCTTACTATTCAATTTAACGCTTATAGAGTTAGACTGGAATTTTTTATTCAAACATAAAAAAATTTCATGTAAACACACATAACAATGAAATTGACTTTAATCTGAAAAATTAGGAATGTTTTTTGAAATGGGCGTAAAAATGAGCTATATTTGACAGCTTACCTCAAGTTCATGCACATTTTTGGTGTTATGGTTCCCTATTTTTAGTATTTCTTTCTCGATTACAATATTATGGAATGAATTAGTTGTTAGTCTAAAACAGACAGTTGATTATGCACAATATAAATACATAACAAATCCACATCAACACTTAACGATTATTATAATCATCCATTTAAACACAAAGGTTTCCCCTTATGATTAAAATGTCAAGTGTTAGCCAGACTACATAAGCTTCACAAACAATTTCTTTTATTTCTTTTACAATTTCTATACAATTTTTTTAAGAATTGTATTCTAATATACTTTACTCTGTAACTTGTGGCTACTCTACAAAAGCAGCTCAAAGACCCTCCTCATTCCTTAAAAATCCTTTAGGTATTGAAAGACTTGTTTTAAACAACATCTGTCTGCAAAACACAATCCTGCCTGTTTAAGCATTTTTAATCAGCTTTTACAGTTTAAAAGTGCATATTAAATATTCTATTCTATTCGTGCAAATCTGAAAATAATTACTTGTTATTGTTGTCTTATTTATTTTTTCATTCGTCTAGCAAGCTGTCCTTCTGATTGGTTGCATATAGAATCATCTAGTTATTTCTTCGGTGCAAATGCAGCAACATGGAATAAAGCAAGAAAACTTTGTCAACAGAAGGGAGGAGATCTTGCTGTTCCAAAAAATAATGCTGAGAATAATGCCATATCCAGAATCATCTTAAAAAAACTCCTTAAAGTTCATTTTATTGGTTTGTATCGCAATAAAAGCGACAATCAGTTCTACACAGTTCAAAATGGCTAGCCCAGTTTCACATTATGGTATCCGGGAGAACCTAGTCACGAAAGATTTGGCATAGAGGACTGCGTTGTAATTTATGACAACTATTATAAATCCAAGTGGAATGACGTTGGATGTTGGCGAGACTTTAACTTCATCTGTCAACGTGAGAGACGTAATTTAAACTGTGAGTAGCTTCTATAATTATCAATACATTAGGTACTTTACATAAATGTACTATTTTGTAGTAAAATGGGTGCATTCTTTAGTTATTGTTTTCCTGCCAAAAAAATGTTAGAACTAGATAACTCATTCGACCATGTAGCAGACTGTTGAGCACTAAAAGCGAATTCTGAACTTTTTGTGCAACTAATAGTGATTCAATCAATGGCCCAAGGTGAAATGTTAATGGCTTGAAGACAAATAATTCTCTTATCGCCAAAAATAGTTTAACATATTCAACTAAAATCAATGTGGTACCAAATTTGGCCAATCTGAAAAATTGCAAGTATATATTTGTTCATACTTAAAGATGTCAATTCAATAAAGAACTGGTATGCAGGGAATGGTCACTTAAATATCAAAAATAATTGAGAGCCATGTTTAGTAATAGGTTTGCCCGAGTAAATGTGTCAAAAACGGAACCTTAGATGAAGCTTCCCCAAACTTATATAAATTCAAAAGACCTGCTTTTAGGCATAATGAAAATGCCATACCTTCTTAGCCATTCCAATTTACATAACTTCTTTATTCGTCACGCCCTACTGCTGAGCACATTAGTTCACAAAACAAGAATATTCGCACATATATGAATATTCAAAACCCCCCTCCAATCAACGTTCTAGTTTTGGACGTGGTCGTAGCCAACCTGCTTGTATTTAGTCTTGTTTTGTTTGTTTTTCTGTGTTGATTTACTTAGAAAACAATAAATTTGAAATTGAACAGTGCTTGATGGAACAATAAATAAGGCTTGATTGAGTATTCTTTTTTTTAAATTTTACGGCAAGATGCAACGTCTCCAAATACCGCTGCTTTTCATACCAAGATATACATATCAATGACGACATGCTGGGATCAAATATGATTTTTCCACTTCTTGTAAAAAAATTTTTTAAAGTATTTATTGCGGGTAATTCGTCGAGCTTGTTTGGTATAGATGATATGCTTTAATTTCGTATAATTTTGTTAGTCGATGCGTTTTCTTTTGAAAGATAATCCAACATCTTGAATTAACAAACTCAAAATTTCCGACACTTGTCACGACAGGATAAGATAATTAATACGCCCCTGTTGTGTGAATTTTTCAAATGCTACTCTCATTGCTTTAAATGGCTAAGTTGTTTTTTGCTTTTTTTAACGATGAAAATAATTCAAAATAGCAACCGTCGTGGGTACACGTCACACTTCATAATTCATATTCCTATTAGCTATGTAAGAACTAGGTTTGATTTATATCATAAATGCCGCCTTAGCAATCCCACTACCAGATTTAACTTTCTTTATGTGTGGTTCTGCTTGTAGCCCTTGGTGAGCAATCTTCTATCGTGTACAGTAAATGATCGTTAATTAATGTATTCTGTTAATAGACTCATTCTTATTGTTAAAAATCAAACGTAGTCTGAATGATTTACAAAAATATTTGTCTAAACGAATCTAGAAAGTTATGTTACAAAAAAATTACTAGTACATACAGTCCCAAAAATCACAGATCTCACTATACTCTCATTTTTTACAGAATTTATTTGAAGTTTTAGATGTTGATATGCTCATATCAAATACATGCATTAAAATTTTAGGACAATTATGTTTTTACATTCTCGTAAAATCAATTAAGAAATATCTAAAAGTAATAAATTAAACAAAAAATTTCATATTTATTTATTACACATCTTTAAATTAGACATAAAATTGCTTAATTTATGGTACACATTTTCAAACAACTTTATTGTGAAACATTAGATATCGGCGAATGTCAGTCTTCTCCTTGTGGCAAAGATCACTCATGCATAAATATCCCAGGCTCATATGAATGCCTATGCTCCAATGGATACAAACTTGACAAATCCAAAAAGAAATGTATCGGTAAGTTGGTCGTTCTAGATCTTTTAACTTATGTTGCAAGCTTACGTGACTTCATGAAAATTCTTTGAAGACTGCTTGAACTATTAAAATATGGGAAATGCTTGACAAGGTCTTGTGTTCAAATGTACAAATTAGTAGCTAACTCTAGAAGGGCGTTTCTCGAAAGTCTCTGCTGATTAAGTGAATTAAAATCTAAATAGATAACAATTAGTGGTTTATGTTACATTAGAACTGACTTAAGCTTGTTTAAAATAAGCATTTTATGTGAAACCAACATAAAGTTGGCATTCACTTAATTAGAATTCAATTTAAAGGTAAAGACAGTGAAATGTGGTTCTGATTGGTCAATAGCTGTGTTTTCATTAGTCTGTGCAAAACAGATATGAATTCAACCAATCAAATCAATCAAATTGCACATCGATCATAAATGTATTTTAGGGGTAAATTTAAAACGTCTGTTTTCAATTTCTCTGTTTCACTTTATTGTTGCTTTATAAAAGAAATAAATGATGTTTTCGTGTTTGCACTGGCTTATACAAACCTTAGAGACGTTTTGTGAGAACTTTCGAATTCTCGATCAGCTCTCAACCTCTAACTTCCAAACGTCTCCTCTGGGATGGCATAAGCCTGTGCAAATACATTAAACAACTTCTATTTCTTAACTAAAGGCCACGTAATTGTTTATAATATTCTTAGGTTGTTGGTTTAAAATATTTCATCTGTCATTTGAGTTAACACATATGGTCAAAAAATTATGTGTAGTGTTAAAGTGCAATTGCTATTTTTCATGTAGCTATTGCTGAAAAAGCTAATTAATTATTTTAATTAAAGTTTATCAATCAATCAACAATGACAACAGCAAGCACATAAAAAGAAAGTAGATTGGCGTAAAAATGAGCTATATTTGACAGCTTAGCTCAAGCTCATGCACATTTTTGGTGTTATGATTTCCTTATTTTATTATTTCTATCTGGAATACAATATGATGGAATGAATTAGTTTTTAGTCTAAAACAGACAGTTTATTATGCACAATATAAATACTAAACAAATCCACATCAACACTTAACGATTATTATAACCATCCATTTAAACACAAAGGTTTCCATTTATGATTAAAATGTCAAGTGTTAGACAGACTACATAAGCTTCACAATCAATTTCTATTATTTCTTTTACAATTTCTATACAATTTTTTTAAGGATTGTATTGTATTATACTTTACTCTGCAACTTGTGGCTACTCTACAAAACCAGCTCAAAGACTCTCCTCATTCCTTAAAAACCCTTTAGGTATTGAAAGACTTGTTTTAAACAACATCCGTCTGCAAAACACAATCATGCCTGTTTAAGCATTTTCAATCAGCTTTTACAGTTAAAAAGTGCATATTAAATATTCTATTCTATTCATACAAATCATTCTGAAAACAATTACTTGTTATTTTTGTCTTATTTATATTTTCATTCGTCTAGCAAGCTGTCCTTCTGGTTGGTTGCATATAGAATCATCTTGTTATTTCTTCAGTGCAAAAGCAGCAACATGGAATAAAGCAAGAAAACTTTGTCAGCAGAAGGGAGGAGATCTTGCTGTTCCAAAGAATAATGCTGAGAATAATGCCATATCCAGAATCATCTTAAAAAAACTCCTTAAAGTTCATTTTATTGGTTTGTTTCGCAATAAAAGCGACAATCAGTTCTACACAGTTCAAAATGGCAAGCCAGTTTCACATTATGGTATCCGGGAGAACCTAGTCACGAAAGATTTGGCATAGAGGACTGCGTTGTAATTTATGACAACTATTATAAATCCAAGTGGAATGACGTTGGATGTTGGCAAGACTTTAACTTCATCTGCCAACGTGAGAGACGTAATTTAAACTGTGAGTAGCTTCTATAATTATCAATACATTAGGTACTTAACATAAATGTACTATTTTGTAGTAAAATGGGTGCATTCTTTAGTTATTGTTTTCCTGCCAAAAAAATGTTAGAACTAGATAACTCATTCGACCATGTAGCAGACTGTTGAGCACTAAAAGCGAATTCCGAACTTTTTGTGCAACTAATAGTTATTCAATCAATGGCCCAAGGTGAAATGTTAATGGCTTGAAGACAAATAATTCTCTTATCGCCAAAAAAAATTTAACATATTCAACTAAAATTAATGTGGTACGAAATTTGGCCAATCTGAAAAATTGCAAGTATATCTTGGTTCATACTTAAGATTTCAAATCAATAAAGAGCTGGTATGCAGGGAATGGTCACTTAAATATCAAAGATAATTGAGAGTTATGTTTAGTAATAGTCTTTGCCCGAGTAAATGTGTCAAAAACGGAACCTTAGATGAAGCCTCCCCAAACTTATATAAATTCAAAAGACCTGCTTTTAGGCATAATGAAAATGCCATATCTTCTTAGCCATACCTATTTACATAACTTCTTTGTCTGTCACGCCCTACTGCTGAGCACATTAGTTCACAAAACATGAATATTCGCACAAATATGAATATTTAACCCTCCAATCAACGTTCTAGGTTTGGACCTGGTTATAGCCAACCTGCTTGTATTTAGTCTTGTTTTGTTGGTTTTTGTGTGTTGATTTACTTAGAAAACAATAAATTTGAAAATGAACAGTGCTTGATGGAACAATGAATAAGGCTTGATTGAATAATATTTTTTTTTAATTTTACGGCAAGATGCAACGTCTCCAAATACCGCTGCTTTTCATACCAAGATATGCATATCAATGACGACATGCTTGGATCAAATATGATTTTTCCACTTCTTGTAAAAAAATTTTTTAAAGTATTTATTGCGGGTAATTCGTCGAGCTTGTTTGGTATAGATGATATGCTTTAATTTCGTATAATTTTGTTAGTCGATGCGTTTTCTTTTGAAAGATAATCCAACATCTTGAATTAACAAACTCAAAATTTCCGACACTTGCAACTACATTATGAGATAATTAATATGCCCTGTTGTGTGAATTTTTCCAAAGCTAATCTCATTGCTTTGAATGGCTAAGTTGTTTTTCGTTTTTTTTTATTAATGATGAAAATAATTCAAAATAGCAATCGTCGTGGGTACACGTCACACTTCATAATTCATATTCCTATTAGCTATGTAAGAACTAGGTTTGATTTATATCATAAATGCCGCCTTAGCAATCCCACTGCCAGATTTAACTTTCTTTATATGTGGTTCTGCTTGTAGCCCTTGGTGAGCAATCTTATATCTTGTACCGTAAATGATCGTTAATTAATGTATTCTGTTAATAGACTCATTCTTGTTTTAAAAATCAAACGTTACAAATAAATTACTAATACATACAGTCCCAAAAGTCACAGATCTCACTATACTCATTTGTTACAGAATTTATTAGAAGTTTTAGATGTTGATTTGTTCATATCAAATACACGTATTAAAATATTAGGACAATTATGTTTTTACATTCTCGTAAAATCAATTAAGAAATATCTAAAAGTAATAAATTAAACAAAAAATTTCATATTTATTTATTACACATCTTTAAATTAGACATAAAATTGCTTAATTTATGGTACACATTTTCAAACAACTTTATTGTGAAACATTAGATATCGGCGAATGTCAGTCTTCTCCTTGTGGCAAAGATCACTCATGCATAAATATCCCAGGCTCCTACGAATGCCTATGCTCCAATGGATTCAAACTTGACAAATCCAAAAAGAAATGTATCGGTAAGTTGGTCGTTCTAGATCTTTTAACTTATGTTGCAAGCTTACGTGACTTCATGAAAATTCTTTGAAGACTGCTTGAACTATTAAAATATGGGAAATGCTTGACAAGGTCTTGTATTCAAATGTACAAATTATTAGCTAACTCAAGAAGGGCGTTTCTCGAAAGTCTCTGCTGATTAAGTGAATTAAAATCTAAATAGATAACAATTAGTGGTTTATGTTACATTGGAACTGACTTAAGCTTGTTTAAAGTGAGCATTTAAGTGAAACCAACATAAAGTTGGCATTCACGTAATTAGAATTCAATTTATAAGTAAAGACAGTTAAATTTGGTTCTGATTGGTCAATAGCTGTGTTGTCATTAGTCTGTGCAAAACAGATCTGAATTCAACCAATCAAATTAATCAAATTGCAAATCGATCATAAATGCATTTTAGGGGTAAAGTTAAAACGTCTGTTTTCAATTTGTCTGTTTCACTTTATTGTTGCTTTATAAAAGAAATAAATGATGTTTTCGTGTTTGCACTGGCTTATGCAAACCTTAGAGACGTTTTGTGAGAATTTTCAAATTCGCGATCAGCTCTCAAGCTCTAACTTCCAAAGGTCTCCTCGGGGATGGCATAAAGCCTGTGCATATACATTAAGCAACTTTTATTTCTTAACTAAAAGCCACGTCATTGCTTATAATATTCTTAGGTTGTTGGTTTAAAATATGTCATCTGTCATTAAAGTTATTGCATATGGTCAAAAAATTATGTGTTATGCAAAAGTGCAATTGCCATTTCTCATGTAGCTATTGCTAAAAAGGCTAATTAATTGTTTTAAATAAAGTTTATCAATCAATCAACAATGACAACAGCAAGCACATAAAAAGAAAGTAGATTGGAGATATAGTGGGTTTAGTATTGAATTTTCAATTGAATTATTCTTATTGCAGCATTTTCCCCTGAATTTAAGAACAATTAGTTGTTGTTACATTTCCTTATAACTTTCAAATTTCTTACAAAAACCATCTGTGGGGGAGATCATCTCTGATCTACTATTTCCCTGAGATTTCCGTTTAATAGAAAAATCTTTTAGTTTATCAAGTACCATCGAGTAGGCAATCAGTTTGAAATCAATATAACGGAAACAATATTGTCCATAGTAATATTACCTTTGATTATATTAGCTATCCGTCAGTGGCATTTACAAAAACTTTATAAAGTCTTCCTGACCCTGACATCAAAAAATGTTGGTCAAGTGATTCTAAGAATTTTTTTGTAATAGTAGTCTCAATATTTTTGATGTATACAAGGTGATATGTTTCATATATGAAATAAATGGTGTATGACGTATGATGAATGAGAATGTTTGAGTGAAGTTACTGAATTTTGCCCGTATTCCAAAACTTCAATCAAACTCATACTCAATGATTGCAACACAGAATTCACGCTCCTACCAAGTAATGGCAATTTAATGTATTCAACAATGGCATGCTTTTTTGCCAAAATATTTGAAATCATAGCTACGCCTAAAAAATTTGCAAGGGGATTTTGAAACTTCATTCTGTGTGGTGGTTAGGGGTAAGCCTTTAAAAAGCAGGCATTTGTCTTGATGTTTATTTCAGGTTATTACAGCTTTTTTGACTTTCTATTATCATAGATATCAACGAATGCGTGTCTTCTCCTTGTTCCCGTGAATGCTTATGCCATAATCGTCCAGGCTCATACGTTTGCAGAAAACGTTCATGGTTTTATTCAACGATTCCCTGCCCCTAGTATGTTTTTATAAATGCTCCATGACAAATGTTTTACTATCAAAACCTATAAGAGAGATTCCTGCAAAATATAGACAAAAGACCGAAACGAAGAATTTAACTAGTCTATCTAAGGTAGATGGCTACATTTTATCGGCAAATGAAGCATGTTGAAGTTCTAAAGTTCATCGTAAAAATTTTTCTTTGTATTTTTTTTCAAGTTGTTATGACATATTGCTAGGAATGGTGATGTTGCCAAAAAATATGACAAAGGTTATACAAAAGTGAATTTAAATTTTTTCTTATGATGTTCATGTATGAAATTAAGAACCTCATAGAATTTTTACTAAATTTCACGAAAATATTTCAATTAATTTTTTCATTTATGCAAACGAAGCGATATTTTTTGATTTCCCGCAATCTGATTGGCTGCAGCAGCGGGGATCTTTTTACGATACCTAAATTATGATCAAAAAGTGATATTTTTACCAATAAGTTGGTTGCAAAGTGAAATTAAAATTTCTAAAATTAATTTAAAAGCGAGGCAAATTGCTCAACGATGAAGAACAGTGTATTCAGATGAAAGCTTCACATACATCAAATTTACTTTTCCTGAAGAAGTGGTAAATTTGTAGAAAAAATCCAAATTTCTTTTCTCAATATCGTTATGTCGTCTATTTTATTAAATGCAATTTTCTTTATAATAAAATAAAAAATATGTTATTTACTAGGTTTTATTCTACGGAAAATATTTTCACAAGGTCTTAAAGGCTCCGGTAACACATTTATTTTTATTTAGCGGTCCAAAGCGATATTTTTATTTCCAGAAATTTGATTGGCTGCATGAGCGGATATTTTACGCATATTCGCCTGTGGGCACAACGATACTTTTTGCATTGTTTTTGCTTGTGAATTGAAATGTAAGTTTTAAATATGATTTAAAAAGCGATGTAAATTGTTGAACGAGTAGGCAGACTGTCTTAAGTATTATTTATCATAGCCAGAGTGAGTTTTACTATCCAGACGAAAACAAAGTGTGTAGAAAAACAATCAATTTTTAGTCTCAACATATTTTTTCGCAATGTATTTTTTACGAAGGAAATGTAAATTCATGAATTGATATGCTGATGTAAATTGTTTAACGAGTAAGCAAGGTGTAATCAGATGAAGGATGTCGTTGCAAGAGTCCATTTTACTGTCCAGACAAAGCAAAGTTTGCTGAAAATCATCAAATTTAGTCTCAACTTTGTTGCAGACCTTAGAAAATATTTTTCCTTATAATGAACCTCCCAGCCGGTAATACTGTATTATACAGGGGCGGATCCTTGGCGTATCCAATGTGGCACTGGAAACGGTTAGAATCTGACAAAAAATCTTGAAATTTAGATACTAAACATATATTTTCTTATTTTATCTTAGTTTATTGAGTCTATTTTTAACCAAACACTAAAAGCTACATGAAATGCACTTGTTGACATTCTCGAAATTCGGCATTTAAGCGACTGATTTATAAATCATCGTATTATTACGCCGTTTAGATTTGCCTAATGTAATCCGATTATCCTACAAAACGTAACTCGATTGCTGTTCGGAGCCCAGTTTTGCTGTTACAGTAGTATAAAGAGCGTTGCCGCTGGCGAAACTTCACCTTGAGAAAGCGTTGCCGCAGGCGCACTTCACCTTGAGAAAGCGTCGTTTCTAGCGCACCTCACAGTTTGAAAAGGAGTATACACAAATCTAAGTGCCCCAGCCCTACCTCGCTTATGTACTTCTCGTAACTATGCTAGCATAAATACAGCGAAGTTCAAACCCAGGACAACGGCAGGAGCCAAAAACGGCTGGCCCACCCCCCTCGCGCCTGCGCGGCTGGCCGTTGGGGTCTATTATTTAGAGAGATATACTCTCATAGAGTAATCCAAACGTTGGACAGCCATGAGGCAGGGCAAGAACAAATGTGCGTGGTTTCTTCCCGGAAACTCACCACATGTGGGCGAAGCTCCATAGGTGAATACTGTGGACTTCATATGAAGCGGTTAAGGGAAAGAGGGCGACTTCCACAACCATGTCGTAAGTGTGGCGTCGGAACACAGGCAGAAACTATCCTTTGTCAAGCCTGCGGTATCGATAGGGTGCATCATAAGCTCATTTATAAACAGAAACAATCAAGAAAGAGATTTGCTAGAGTACTCGCCGAATTAATTTCGATTTAGAGAATTATCTCAACTGTAAGATATGGTAGCACACCAAATTTGCAACACTTGAGATGAATACTGTCGAGAAACTTCTGTAACTATATGACCAAGGTGTAATCAGCGGACATGCGCTGAATGCCTCTCTTAAGGCTCTTCAACCGCCCGCTGACCCACGCGAAGAAAGTCAATCCGCCTATCCCAAAACCGCGAAAGCGCATGCCTATCCCAAAACCGCGCAAGCGCAGGCCCGCCGAACCTACTGATGATGAGATGAACGCATACATCAACGAAGTTCTGGCTGAATTTAAACCACGACGCACCACAAGGGCTATCTCCCTCTATCACTACGGAACTTAAGTGAGATGAAACGAAGGCCTCCGAACGCAACTTGATGGCTATCCTCAAAAACGCCCAACCCTGCATCAAACGCAAACTCGTCGAGGTGCTATTAGCTCTACGAGGAGTTAAGTTCTAGTTGGCTGTAGAGGTTGAGCTTCGGAACGATGAAGCAAATGGTACCAAAGTCAAGCACTAGTGTTCCGGACAAAGCAGATCACGCTGCTACAGGAGCATGAGCTTCCGCAAGCCCTATATGAAGCCTTTACAACAATCCTGGAGAGATTGGGAAAGTTCACTAGAGAAGGGTCTGGGTGGATAGTGGGTCATGTCAAAACACTCTGGCTTGAAATCGCTCACTATCAGCCTTTACGCGGAGGCTCATACCTTCCTCTCCCCACCGCCTTCAAGAATAAGAATGCAATCGTCAACGTGAAAAACAAAGACGACGACTGCCTCTGATGGTCTCTAAGGGCTGCGCTGTTTCCTGCAGCTAAAGACCCGCAACGGCCGGGCAAGTATCCTACTGAAGACGGCCTTGACTTCACGGGAGTGAACAACCCACACCGCTCTCCCAGCTCGAACGAGTAGAGCGTGAGAACGACCTTGCTATCAACGTGTACAGGTGGGAAGGCGGCGTCGTTCTTTGCCGTCTAAGCAAAGTAGAGAGAGTTTGCAACACTGTGAAT